GATATTGCAACAATATTGTGACAATATTATAATGTGATATATCATAATAAAATATTGCCACAGTATTGCCGCAGTATTACATGGTGATATATCTCGCTGTAATAATACAGCAATATGTAGAATATATTGCAAAGCGACATATCTCACTGCAATATTACTGCAACTTTTAAGAAATATTGCGAGACAATATATGTCACTGTAATATTACGGAGATATTTGGGATATATTGCAAGGCGATATATCTCACTGAAATATTACTGCGACAGTTGCGACAGTTTGCGAGACAATACATCTTGCTGTAATATTACGACAATATTTCAGATATATTATGAAACGATATATCTCACGGTAATATTACGGGAATATTTCNAAAATATTGTGGNACGGTAGCTCATTGTAATACTACTGCAATATTTCAGAAATGCATTGCTTAGCTATATGTATGTCACTTTAATATGTTACTGTGTGTCTGATATTTTTAAAAATATCCCGCACAGAGCGTAATATTGCTACAGCTTTGCTGTAATATCACAGAGTAATATATTATTGTATCTCTGTAATATTGTTGCAGTATTACAGCAATATTACGAGACATATGACTCATTGCAATATTTCNGTACAATACATGTTACTGTAAAATGACCACAATTTTTGTAGCAATAGTTTACTATAAGTGATATTTTGTAAATAATATTATAGCAATATTGCAATAATATTACGAAATGAATATTGGACTGTAATATTAATGAGATATTGCAGCAAAATTGCCGCAATTTGCAGTATAATATATAACAATTTTAAACAGCATTGTAACAAAAGCAATACTAAGCAACGGTAATAAACAAATTTAAGTATGCATATTCCAAACTTGCAATTCAAAATATATTTAATATTATATTTATAATTATCTGTGATGTGATATATGTGTACAAATGGATGGTCTGCATTTTGAGTATATGCTTTAAAATAATTTAATTAGCCACAAACAGTTTTAAACCGTTGGAACAACAATTTTGAATAAAAATGATTCACGTTTTATCTAATCTACTTATTTTACTTTCATTCGTTGTTTTAATGATATCAATTAGAAAATGTTTTTTTTATTAAGTTGTATTCAAACTAGCAATTAAGATATAATTCTTAAAAAATCTTTTTATCAAAACAAGCTCGTTCATTGACTGCGTTCAACAGAACAAGCTGCTTTGTAGTAATCGAACGTGATTGGTTCTTACTTTTAGAACCAATAAATCAACGTCTAGTATTATCAAGACGACAACTCAGCAATTGTTCAGCTGAACGCGACCATTACATGCAGACAAAAATAACTCCCTCTCTCTGTCTTTATCTTTCTTCTTCTCTTCTATACTCATTTCTATCNCGTTGTCATTCATTTCTTCCATCATCGGTCACTTGTTGGTGATATGCTTGCTCTCTGCCGCCATTATTCGTTTTACATTCACCATTCACGTGAAAACATTGCCGGTGTGCTGCACTTTTAATTCTTTGTCTGCATCAGTTTACGATTCCCGCGTTACAAATAAGTAATAATTTTTGCAGTAGTGAAAGTTTNGTTAGAAGCAGCGTGTCATTGATTTTGCCGCCTGGATACAACAAAACAAAGAGGTATGTATCTATTTCTTTTGTCTCTCTTATATTTCTGTTTTTATTAACCTCATTACAGATAAGTAATACTTGTGACAGTAGTAAAATTTTTGTTATATAGAAGCAGCATGTCATTAATTTTGTTGCCTGGATATAACAAAACAAAAAGGTATGTATCTATTTCTTTTGTCTCTNCTTCATATTTCTGTTTTCATTAACTTTATCATATCACGTTGTGTTATATGAAAAGAATGAGAATAAAATGAAAAGATTTGAAATCTTCAGTTGTCTCATCATGTTTATTTGTTATGTTTCTTTCTAAATATGCAGTGTCTGAGACACTGTGATGACAAACTGTCATTGCAAATATAAATCAGATTGCATGTGTTACTTGATTTTTATATTTTTTAAAATACTTTTTACTTTTAAATAACGTTATATAAAATAACGGTATTCTATATATGCCTAAATATTATAGTAACAAAATAAAACTTTGTGTGGAATAGGTTTCTCATACCATAAACACATACCACACATGGACTTTCAGTCGCAAAAAGCTATTTGAGAGATATCATAAAAACTTATTCTAGATGTTATTTGATAAGTTATTATATGAGAACTATTTTATACATGTCTTGAGATTCGAAATCTTATGTATGGCATTTTTACAGCAAATCTATTTTACAAATAATGCTCAAGACATTATTTAATCATTTATTAATACAACTTTATTACTAAAACATTTATTAATAACTAGAATTAGGTTATAAATCATTTATGTAAAGCTTACGGACANAAGAGATTGTAACCAATTTTTTAAATTCTAATGTTTCTGGTTGTGTAAAACTTTACAATTTTTGTGNCAGCTATGATATTTTTACTTTACATGTATATAATATATTATTAATATATTTTTCACTTTTCCAGATTTTCCACACCATTACCATACTGAGAGCACAGAAAGATTTCTGTAATATTACATTTGCAACATTGCAGACACGTTATAAGACTGCAAGTTTTTACCCTTGGTTTGTTTTTATCTTACTGCACTTTACTTCCCTGAAAGTTATGTAAGTCTACAATTTTTGTGATAGCTTACTTGCACCAAGAAAGCTCGTCATTTCAGAAAAACAGATATAAATGTTTAACAGTTTTTAAACTTTTTATAAGCTTTAAATGAGTAAAACCCTAATCCTATNGTTTAAGATTTTTCTGTACATTAGTCGATTACCTGAAACGTTCAAAAACCACGAACAACCAATTTTAACAAATATTTATCACCCGATCAAAGCAATAAAAAAAAATAATTATATGTATGCATATAGAAATATTGTATACAAAACATATTTNATTTAAAACTTTTTTAATTATGGAGAAAAGTAAATACATGTTANTTATAAATGATCAAAAGATGTCTTGAGCACTATTTTACTTTAGACGATTTTTGCTGGTCATATTTTTGGCGCGCGCGTACATATACCAAAGTGTACCAAACTATAGTTGTATATATACTATAACTTATATACTATAACTTATATATACTATAACTACTTTAGTACATTTTGATATATGTACCAAACAATCGTTAAAAATCGCCTTTTATTATATGAAATATTATTACAATTTGCCATCGATGTTTTTTCTACGTTTCAGTTGGTTATCGACTTCAACTAACGTTCGGAAAAATTTCAAACTGTAGGATTAGATTTTAAATCACCCATATAAAGCCTAAATAAACAATTTGACAANTGTGAACAATTCCTAACTGGTTTTTTGAAATAACGAGCTTTCTTGGTTCAGGTACAGCCGTTACAAAACTTGTGGACTTACATAACATTGAGGAGTGTAGTAAGATAAAAAATAAATTGCCAAGATTAAAAATTTTGCTGTCTCATAACTCAAATGTCTGCAATGTTGTATGTAATATTACAACACTTTTCCTCTGCTATCAAGGTAACAATAGCATGAANAATCTTAAAAAGTGGAAAATATATTAATGACAATATACATGTAAAGTAAAAATGTGAAATCGACTTTGAAACAATTTTTTTTAAATTAGTTACATTTTTGATATTTTAAAAACAGTAATGATTGTTACAGTTTATTTTGTAAAGAATTATTTCCATATTGTAGNTAACATAAAATTGAATTTTTCTAGGTTTTACTCAGTAATTAAACTTGTGATTGGAAAATAAAAACCAAAGAGTCAAACTTATTATTCTTTATTATAAATAAAGTATTTGTTTTATAAAAAATAAATCAATTATAGATTTGTAACTTAAAAAATATTACTTAACTAAGAAAGATGATGTTTTTAAAATATAAATTTAACAATAATATTGAATACTTTTTAATATCTATTCAGCGAGAAATGTCCATTCTTTTTATTTGGATCCAATGATAATAAGTTATCATTGATAACACTCTCGATAAATCTGTAAAATACGTCGATGCCAGTAGTTTAAGTTTTTGTACTTTTTTTAGTACTTGCGACTCATTTGAATATAGGTAAGGACACAAACAGAATTTTAAAAACAATCTTAAAATTATGTAATAAATTACNTTCTATTTCATAAAAAGCAATGTTCCTTTTTAACTGAAAAAAATACTTACAGACATTTTTGACTAAAACTACGATTGTTATCGACAATTTACCAAAAACAGATTTTCTGAATTAAAAATAGTGCCAATTGCTAAANGATTCAATTACGTATAAATGTGGATTCTGCGGGAACAGGGGGAAAACGAGGTACCCGCAGAAAGATGTTAAATTACATATTGAAAAATTTCACCCCCAACCCCCGGTTGTTGATGAGGCGGGTAATAGTAGATTATCTAGCGAACCTGGAGCCGCGCCATCTTCCGCGTCGTCAGCGGCCCCGACCACAGACAAAAATCCCCCCTCTAAACGCAATCCCTCTGCGAACCCGCGGCAACCCGGCGCAAGCGCCACCACCACCGCCACCAAGAGGGCCCGCCCAGCTTTACGGACTCAACCCAGCGGGCCCTCTCCACCATCATCAACACCACCAACGACAGGACCATCCCCCACATACGCAGCCGTCACAGCAGGAGAAGCGGCCGCCACCATCATGAGGCCGCCGAAAGCGACGGCTGCGGGGACGGTGCCCCAGCCGGGACCATCGAAGGGGGCCGTCCCGAAAAAGAAGGCGTCGACGAGGAGGACAGCTGCCGCGAGGAGAGATACGGTCGCGGATTCATCTACCCCCTCGAGTGGGGGTAGCAGCATAGTAAGGAGAGCCGGCACCTCGTCGCTCGCGCGCCGCCCTCCCCGCCCATCACCATCTTCCGCTGGAAGTTATACAGCAAGAAGGGGAGAAACATCACGACCATCAAGATCGCCCGCCGCAACACCATCACCGCAGGAGGCCACAAAAATGCGGCGGGCTCACGGCGCGCCCAGCAAGAATTCCGGAGCTGCCAGACCGGTGCGTGCGCCCTCCCGCTCCCCGAAGGAGGGGACTGCAAGAACGTCAGCGGGGGGTGTCGCCAGCAGGAGGCCGTCCGCACATAAATCACCCCCGCAGACCACCAGCGGGGGCCAGCGAACATCATTGGAGAGGCGGACGGCAACAGACGCTCCGGTCGAGAAGAGCTCCGAGGCGACGAGGCAAAAATTCCCCCTGTCTCTGAGGCGAGACCGGGGGCCGGCGTCACAGGGGCTGCAGAGCGCCAGGGTTTCACCCGAGAAGAGCTCTGCAGCTATGCCGGCCCGTCCATCGTCCGGCAGTCCCGTGGCGTCGCGACCGGCAGCAGCAGCGTCGCCACAATCGGGGGAGGCCAGCAGCAGCAGGGGGGTGACACTACCCCCCCTCGACATTCCATCTCCTCTCCCGATAACAGCAGCGGGGGCACCGAGGGTCACGTCCAACATCCGAGTGACGGTGCCACCCGCTCTGTTACAACAATATGTACCGACGACGTCGCTGCCCGCGATCGTCACCACCACCACGGTGACAACAACGACGTGTGGGAGCCCCATTATGGCCACGGGTATCCCACTGGGGGGGCGCAGGTCACCAAGCCCCCCCATGCCAGCGAGACGTCGGTCACCGCCGGTGGTGCAGCAACAACAAACCGTCTGGTCGCCCGAACCCTGCAACGATGGATTCTCCCTCGTGATGGGAGAGGGTGCGTCGGGCCAGACGAGAAAGAGAAAGACTCCACCCCATGAACACCCCGGGGTGGAGCAGCAACAGCGGCAGCAGCAGCAGCAACAACAACGGAGGTCGACGCCACCAGCGAGGGATTGTGGGGAGCCAGAGGTCCTAAGCGGTGGTGAGTGCACCGTGAGTCGCGGGCGAAGAGCGGGGAGAAGACACTCCGCCACACCCCCCGCGAACAATACTTCCCCAATTTTAGCGCCGGCGGAGTCTGGGTCGCGGGCGACGCGTACCCCGCCACCCGTAACGTCGGCAAACTATCCCTCCCTTCCGTTGCCCGGGGGGGAACGGGACAAAAGTCCCCAATTAGAGGAGGCTCGGAGCGAGCGAGCCGGGAGCCCCGAGCGCCGGAACGCTGAACAATGTCAGCGTGCNCGCCGCCGGGGGCGTTCTCCCGTAAACACAAATCCCACGACCCTAGGACGTGTCGAAAGGGAAATAGGGACGAGATCGCCTCGCAGCGGTGCGTCCGCCGATGCGCAGAGCCCGCGGCGTCCCGTCAACAATGCGCCCCCCCAGCCGTCNGGCTCCAATGACCGAATATATATTTATTAGTTTAGAAACTACAGAGCCGAAAAAGATTCTTTAATTGTTTATATTTTTTAACTTATAAATAATATCTGTCATTCTGTCTTCTGCATTTTGCAGAATATTATCGCGAATCAAATAAGCAATTGTACATTACAATCAACTCATACTCCTCTATTGGCATTATTTATAGTTCAGAAAATTTGTCTTTGGGGAATTGTTANTAACAACCGTGTTTTAGTCAAAATTTACCGTTATTTTTTCAAAAAGAAACATTGCTTTTTATAAAATACAACGTGATCACTGGGATTATTAGTGTAAGATAGCTTATTAAAATTTTGTTTGTATTTACCCACATTCGAATGAGTTGTAAGTATTGAAACTCCTTAAACAGCAGTGGAGAATTGTTTTCCGATAAATTATTTACAAATAGATATTCTTTTTCATATAGGATATGGACCGNATCGGGAAACCCGATTGTTTATATTCAGATAGACATAATCGCCGTTTAATACAACAACAAACTGCAATCGATTTGCATAAAATTATGAAAGAAGCATTATTTTNTAAAGATGAACTGAGCGTGGTAGAAAAAACATGTACGAATTGACAAATAATATAATGGCCAAGATGTTTACGGATAATTTGGCAAAAGAATTTAGCTTGCGAGGAAAGCAAAAAAAAAGGCCTTTTTAGATCTAAAACTATCGTTATGCATAATTGGTAAGTCTCCGTTTTTATTTTGTCTTTTGAAACGTTAATCTATACTTAATTTAATTTCGTATTTCATTACTGAATTTTTCAGAAACAGTAACTGCCTGTGAAAATAAGGCAAAACAAAACATAACAGAAAAACAAATTGGAAAGTGCTAATGCACCTATACGCCTAGTACGAAAAAAGTAATATACATACAATTATTAAATATATTTGTATAATCCGTTACACACACACACACACATATGGGTCACTTTAAATCAAGTTTACTAATCTTAGTGGTTTTGTCTCAGTTATATCTTGCAAGAGCGATTTTTNGTTTCCTGCGGGACGAGGGGTGCTATGAGCACAACTTCGTCCTGCAGGAAATCCTGACAGACGCGAGACGATCTCAGAAGGAATTGGTCGTGGCGCGGCTGGACCTATCCAACGCGTTTGGATCGGTCCCGCACGCGACGATCAGAAAAGCATTAGCTCGGTCCGGCGTGCCTGGGTCCCTCACAAATTTGTGGGGGTCCATGTACGCAGGATGCNCGACATGTGTGCGCACGTCCGACGGGTGGACGGCACCAATCCCCATCCGCTCTGGAGTGAAACAGGGATGCCCCTTAAGCCCCATTGTGTTCGATTTCGCGATCGATTCCGTGTTGCGCGCGGCCACCGCAGAAAATGCGGGGTACAACATTTTAGGGCAGCGGTGGTCCGCACTAGCGTACGCGGATGACATCGCACTTGCAGCGGATACTCCAGAGGGGATGCGACGACTTCTCACCGTCGTGGAAACCGAGGCGCGGTCGGTAGGCCTGCGATTCAACCCCGCAAAGTGTGCAAGTTTGCACATCCGAGCGGGGCGATTGGATCGCGTCCTCCCGACCCGCTTCGAGATCCAGGGAGAGATGATGCAATGCCTGGCAGAAGGAGAAGGATATAGGCACTTCGGCATTCCGACGGGGTTTTCCGTTGATCAGAACCCCTATTCCACGATCCAGGGCATGATGGAGGATTTGCAGCGCGTGGAGCGCTCGTTGCTAGCCCCGTGGCAGCGAGTCGAAATGGTGGCAACTTACATCCTGCCACGTCTCGACTTCTTGCTGCGGGGTGCCAAAGTGGAGAAGGGCCTCGTGAAATTCGCGGACAAACAGATAAGGAGGCTGGCCAAGTCGTGGCTCAACCTCCCTCAGCGCGCCAGCGCGGAGGTAGTCTACCTCCCTCCTAACAAGGGGGGATGTGGCCTGCTTCCGCTCGCTGACCTCGCCGACGTCCTGACGATAGCGCACGTCTTCCGTGTTCTCACGGCTGGCGACGCTTCAGTCAGAGACCTGGCGTGGGCGTCGCTGAGGGGAGTGGTTCAGCGCCGAATTGGTTCAGTACCAACGGAGCACGACATCGCTTCGTTTCTCTCGGGCTCGCTCGAGAGAAAGTTCCGCGACGGTGGAGAGCGCTCCCTTTGGTCTGATGCGCGAAACGCGTGTAGGCGGCAGT